AGATTAATCCGGTCATCATGTCCCTTTAAGCGGTTTAGTTTAATCCGAACATCTCTTGAACGATTTAGAATTTAATCCGGACAACACTTGGCCGTTTTAGATGAAATCCGGTCAGCCTTTGTCCGGTTTAAGGAGAATCCACACAATATCATAATAACCAATTCCAATAACTACATAAATGAATGCAAACAAATAATACTCAAAGCTTAATACACTCACCTTTGATTGTGAGTTTTGACTTCAAATCTGCAAATCCTTCTTCAGTCTTTACTCTCAATTGATTTTGCTCCCCAGAATATTCAAAAAAAATAACTATCATTCCTTTCATATGCACTTGCTATTTATAGCAAGTGCAGGAACCGCCTCTTCCCAACTCTACTTTCACACACAACACCATATATATTATATAATATTAATATAAACATAAGATTTAAAATATTAGAAACCAATAAAATAACCCGGATATTACAATATTCCCTCCTTAAAAGAATTCCGTCCTGGAATTCCATTAAGTAAATAGATAAGGATATTTCATCCGCATTTCCGATTCTGATTCCCAGGTGGCATCTGGTCCCTTATGATAACGCCACTGAACCTTTACTAACCCAATCTTTTTGTTTCGTAACTTCTTTACTTTGTAATCAGTAATATGTTCAGGGGTTTCTTCAAAGCATAATCTTTCATCTACCTTAATCTCAGGTAATGGTACTGCCATATCTGGACTTATTAGACACTTCCTCAAATTTGATACATGAAACGTGTCATGAATTTCACTTAATTCCAAAAGAAGTTCTAATTTGTAGGCCACTTCCTCAATCTTTTCAATAATAAGGAATGGTCCAATGTACCTTGGACTTAACTTTCCCTTTTTACCAAAACGTACCATTCCTTTCCATGGCGATACCTTTAACATTACTCTATCACCCACTTGAAATTCAATCTGCTTCCGCCGTTTATCTGCATAACTTCTTTGTCTATCTTGTGCGGCCTTCATTCATTCTCGTATTACTCCAATTTTATCTGCAGTTTGCTGAACTAATTCAGGCCCAGCTAACTATTTTTCACCTATTTCATTCCAGCACAAAGGAGTTCGACATTTACGCCCGTATAGTACCTCGAAAGGTGCTGCCTGAATACGTGAATGATAGCTATTATTGTAAGCAAATTCCACCAGAGCCAAATGACTATCCCATGATCCTTCGAAATCAATGACACATGCTCTCAACATTTCTTCTAAAGTTTGGATAGTTCATTCACTCTGTCCATCAGTCTGAGGATGATAAGTTGTACTTAGCTTAATTTGCGAACCCATTTCTCTTTGAAAGCTTTTCCAAAACATATAAGTGAACCGACTATCTCTATCAGAAACAATTGTTAAAAGAACACCATGTCGTGTCACTATCTCATCAATGTATAATTTTGCTAATCTCTTCATCGAATATGATTCTTTCATAGGTAAGAAGTGTGCAGATTTAGATAACCAATCTACTATTACCCATATAACATCATACCCTTTCGATGTTCTCGGCAATTTGGTTATGAAATCCATAGTGATATGATCCCACTTCCAAACTGAATTTCTAAAGATTGTAACTTACCATAAGGACGCTGGTGTTCAATCTTAACCTGAAGACATGTTAAACATTGCTCAACATGCTTAGCTATATCCTTCTTCATACCTGGCCACCAATAATGTTGCTTCAAATTCCGATACATTTTATTTGTACCTGGATGAATTGCAAAACGTGACTTATGAGCCTCACCCAAAATACGTTTTCTAAGATCACCATAGTATGGTACCCAAATTCTAATCTGAAATTTCCAGAATTCTCTGTCATCTCTCTCCAAATCAGATATTAATCCACCCAATCTTTCCTGTTTGATCTTATCCTTCTTCATTGCCTCATGTTGAAATTCTCGTAACTCTTCTTGAATACCGGGTAATAACTCAACTCRTAAAGCTATAGCTTTGATAGTTCCACTTTTCTCTTGTCGGCTTAACACATCAGTTACTACATTTGCCTTTCCTGGATGATACAAAATTTCACAATCATAATCACTTACTGTTGATCCTCTCTCTCAGTGATTTGATGATAATCCCTTTTTCCTTTCGATGTATTTCTGTGTCTGTAATTTCAGTTCCAGCGATCATACACTGAGCTTGTTCAGTGAT